TTTTAACATGGCTTGTTGGATTCCTCCCCCCGCCCCAGTATAGGGATATTTGCATCGCCACTGGGATTAAAATTTTGTTTGTAAGTTCACTTGAGAATGACTGTTACGGCACATCTGTGCATTGATCCATTGACAATGGGTATGTCAACACATTTATTCTACCAGCTCGTACAGTGCTTCAGTGAAAAGGATTGCTGAAATGTATTTTCTTCTATAAACAGAAAATTTAATCAATCATAAGGATGAAGAAGGATTTACCCCTCTGATGTGGGCTGCTGCTCATGGGCAGATAGCAGTAGTGGAATTTCTCCTCCAGAATGTAAGGAAAAAAACAAATCGTTTTAAATTTCTTGGCTGACTTTTTAGCTCATTTTGCATTTCTAGGCTTGTCAATACTGCTATATATTTAAAGTATTAAAGCTAAGTTCCTTGGGAAACCTCACTTTTACTATGCTGGGTTTTTTTTCAATTGTTATTTCAGGGTGCAGATCCTCAAATCTTGGGGAAAGGGCGAGAAAGTGCCCTCTCACTGGCTTGCAGCAAAGGATACACAGATATTGTGAAAATGCTGCTCGACTGTGGAGTAGATGTCAATGAATATGACTGGGTAAGTCTCTGTCTGGAATTTACAAAATCAGTGTACTTTGATCAGAAACTGGAAACAAGGCACAGCCCTGGCTTCGGTTTGAAAATTGCTGTAAATCTTCTGAGATATCTGAGGCTTTCAAAACTTATGTAGAATGTTCTTCAAAATAAGAGTGTTGGCTGTGATATTTTTGGTGAAAAGAGCAATGAGATTGATACCCTTGTAGATGATGATCATACAGCTTAAAGAATTCACCAAAAAAAAGATGGAAGATGTTGAAGAACCAGAACTTAAAACCTGTTTTTTTGTTGTTGTTGTGTTGTTTTTTAAATTTATATAAAGCCTATGAGTTCTGTTACTGATACACGTACGTACCGCTACGTCAAGAAATTACAGTTGCAGACACCTCAACCATTAAATGCCTAAGGCTTTTCCACGCTTTTGCAGAATGGAGGCACACCTCTACTCTACGCAGTGCATGGGAACCATGTGAAATGTGTAAAAATTCTTCTTGGTAAGCAAGCTATCCAAATTAAACCATCAGTAATGAGGTGCTATCAGTTCTTATTGTCAGAAATCTGAGTTTGATTCTTTTCTCGTTTTACACAGAAAGCGGTGCTGATCCAACTATTGAAACAGATGCTGGCTATAATTCCATGGACTTGGCTGTAGCCTTGGGCTATCGGAGTGGTGAGTATTACAAATACTTAATTCTTCAATTTTTATCTTTATTGCTCCTTATTCATGTAGCTGCTATAATGAGCCAGTAGAGGTTTTGCAAATTTAAGAAGATCCCTGTCCTAAAAGTCTCTATACTGCTAAGTGTATTAAGGATGAATGGATAAGGTGATTTTCCTCCCTGGTTCAGAAACCAAGGTGCCTTATAGGAAGATGTCACCTCGATGCAACTGCCATGAGCTTTGCTGCATCATACAGCGAGCGGAGCTGCTCCACTCCTGCATGTGAGGAGTGCATGTTGCAGCAGGCCATGATCACAGCCTGCAGCCCCATTGACATTCACCCCTCGCTCCTGTGCTCTGTTTGACTGGCATGAGGTGATTTATTTTGCAAAACTTCATTCCCCTGTTAGACAAGCTCTGGCAGAGGAAGGTTAATTTTGGATGCAGACAATGATAGTGCAAGGATCAGTGAACTGGGATACCTTACTAACTTGGTTCTTCCCAATAGAAAAGAAAGAGGCAAAGGGTCTTTGCATTTTTTTTCCATCACACTGCTACCTTTTTGAAAGCTGTGAAATCTCTGCAGTTATAGAAACAAACTGAATTCAAACATAAGACTGTCATTGCGTGTGTAGCTTCTCTAAGCAGAACCCTGTGCTTTTGGGGTTGCTGGGTAGCTTCGTAGATATCTAACTATAGGACTCTTTGAAGTTCAACAGTAGTAGTTTATAATAAGCATTTTTGTCTACTCTCCATTTATAACCTTAAAAATTCACTTGTGGTTTGCTCTCTGCCTATTCCAATCAGAGAACCTCAAAGAACCATCTCCCTTAATAGTGTGTATTCTTTGCATATTATGTGAGTCTTTCTGTAGGTCTGCAGCAAACACAGTGAATTTAATCCTGTCTGTTTTTATAAAGTGTTTGCATAGAGCAAGCCAGCATCTGCCAGAAAATGCTGTTACCTTAAAGACTTAAAAATACATTGAACACTGATTAACCAGATCACTTCTTTGCTTTAGTTCAACAGGTTATTGAGTCTCATTTATTGAAGTTACTTCAAAATATCAAGGAATAACATACGGCTCTTCTGTGGCTTTCAGCTTTTGGCTCGAAGATGTGGACTGCTTTTTAGCCCTGTAACCAGTGATAGGGGTTGTTGATTTTGTACCTTTACCTCAGTTTAAATATTTAACTGACTTTAGTAAGCTTTTTAATGTGCTTCCCCTTCTTTTGTTTCTATTTATAGAAATATGTGATGTCATCCTTTAACTAAAAAGTGTCAGTTGTGATGCATGAACCTTTGTGAATAAAAGCAGTTTTGATTGTCTTAAATGTTCACACCAAGTGCAATAGGCAGCATTGTGCCAAGAGTCCAGGTTCATGTGCTTGATAATAGATTCACAGGAAGAATATTAGAGTTTTAGGTATATCACCATAGGTGGTAAATGTCTTTACTGTTAATAGACCCAACGTGCATCACCTGTGATTTGCTTTTGATATCTTCAGTTGAAAGTACTGTGTCAGCAGTTGTCTTTGATTTTTAAAAAGTTGATAATAAAGTGGAGGACTTGCATACTGGTGGTTTAATTTCTCTTGGAAGTCTTTCTGCATCCTTCTGCCTTCCCATTCTGGTTCTAGAACAGGGGAGGTGGTATTAGGAAATCCCTATCACGGGTAAGCACAGAGTGCCTCCTTCCCAAAGGGCCTCCTCGGGCTGAACACAGCAGTGTGCTAGGAGAAGGCAGAATGTGCTGCCCTCCAGCTTTCTCAGCCAGAACATGGTCCTTTGGATGTTCCTGTGTAAATGCTCTTAGGTCTGAGCAGCTAGGACAGGACTTTGAAATACAGTGAAAAATCAGGGAACATTAAGACGTGAACACCTGCACTGCATCACAACTCCAGTGACTGATGAACTAGGTGATGTTTGTGTACAAAAAAGAGATGAGGGTTTAAAAAAGACCTTTCAGAACTTTTTCCCTGCCCTTCCATATGCATTTATAGAGGCGTTTAGCTGTTGTGCCCACTAGAGGTCCTGTGTGTTCACAGGTATGCACCCCAAATGCTCCCTCTTACCCCATCCATGGGACATGATCCCAGTCTCCTGTTCAATTTGCTCTCTTCCCTAGAGCTGAAACAGCAGGAGGGGAATACACACATATAGGACAAACAAGCTAGTAAATTACTAACTGCATTACTAGGCCTGTGTCTCCCCTATCTTCAGTTTTGCTCACTGAAAATTGTTCCAAACCCAAAGCAAATCACTCAGTCGAAGTCAGTACAAAGTTAAACGCTGTAGCGTAAACTGTAAAGCACATGCAGTGGAATCCCGGAGCAGGGGCTAGGGAAAGCCTGGGATAATCCAGCTGAGCTTCCTGGGCCAGAGCACTAATGGATTCAAACTGCTAGCTCTGTTATTTCAGAGTCAGTGATTATTCAGCAGGGAAAATGTAGGGGCCGGGGCAAGAAGCCTATGTACATTAAGCCTGAATTCATAGACAAATTTCTCTCCGATTCTGTATCAAAACTTTGGTGGTATATAGAAAGCACAAATTGGAGCAGAATAAGTCTTTGAAATACGGTTGCTGTGAGAACCAGTCCCTTCCTTTTAGGAAGCTGATACCTTACATAGAATGAACCTTAAGAGAAGCACTTAGAAATGAGGAAAGGTAACTGATCTTGCAGGTACTGGTGAAATTCTTGGTACATTTAACTAAATCTCTTTAACATACAGCTTATATTTACAGCTTACATTACATGTTTCTGATTACATGAAAAGGGCAGGGCATGAAAGAAATTTTACATTCTAGTGTCTTAGTCCCTCTTTTGCTTTATAACTTCAAGCTATTAACAATAATCTCTGTGCAGCCCACAAATGTGAAATATAAATCTGAAAGCAAAGGCAGTCATCTTTCAGAAGCTGTTTGCTGCAGCAAGAGCCCTTGCATCACCTAAGCTGCTAAAGCAACACACTTGACTAGGAGGTGTCAGTGGCCACAGCAAGGCCCCTACGGTGCCAAACAGCCAGTTTTCCATAGGCTTTAACTCAGGTAACCCAAGGGAAACTCAGTCAGAGCCAGCAGACCAGGAGAATAAACTCTTATGTGAAGAAAAAGTGTTACCTTCACTGAAAAAAACATAAAAACAGCACAGACAACTGCTGATTACCACAGTATTAACAGCATGGAAGTACGACATGAGGAACCCCAACCCCATGACAGCTTTATTTGTTACAGCAATAAAGTTTAAAAGCCCCTGACCCAGGGTTGGCACAGCTTTTGAAAGAGCAGCTTACGCATTTTGAGTTAACTGTTGTGTGGCCTCCCCCTGGACCGGAAGGGACAATGAAAGTCACCTTTGAGTCTTGTCCATGGAGCTGGATGCAGCATCAAGGGCAACTTCTGAGAGTGTCAATGTTTTCTCATGCTGGCATGCCCCAGGACCAGAGGAATTTGAAAACTGAGAGCCCTAAATCTAACTCCAAGTTTATCCTCCTTGCACATTTTCAGGAAAGCACTTGCTGCTGTAATTTCTTAAAAGATCATTAAAATAATAGTTTACACTTTCATTGAGTGACAGCATTCTGTATTCCAGAGCATTGCTTAGCATAAGTTGCTGTTTCTCATTAACTAAGTTATTTTTGCCAAATTTCAGTGTGCAGCGTGTAATCATAGATGTCATGAACTCTGCCTCACAAAACAGATTGCCTAGCAGTTTGATGTACTAATAATAGAAAATGCTTCTGAATTGCACAAAGTCTTTGTCTCATCCATTCCTGTTTGATGCTATGGAGCATTCTGGGTTATTTGGCAGCAAACATGCAGTAAGGAAACAGCCGTCTGCAGTACAGCAGGTAGGATGTTTATCAGAAGTAACATTCATTTATAGTTACCGGGGCTGCAGTAGCTTGGAAGCCTTACAGTGCCTTTACAGGCAGCCTTTATCTGCTGCCAGGGAGGTGAGAGAAAAAAGAAGAAAAAGGCAGCTCTATTCATAGAGGGCAGCAATATAGATGGGAACTGCATCTACCATACAGAAAATGAAGCATCACCCATCTGCTTTAATTGCTCAAATAATTCCTGCTTTCACATACCTAAGCAGTGACCGAGAGATTGAACCAACAAAGATAGAGAGAACAGCCATAAGTAGATTGTTAATAACTGATTAGAAGCTAACATGTTACGTTTAAAGAAATTAAGGAGCACATACATTTAAATCTATACATTTCCATCCAGGCAGGAGTCAGTCTATTGAAAAGGGTTAATTATGGACAGTGTTAGCATTAGTATTTGCATGTAAAGTTGGATGAGGTCTTTGTAATGCTCTTCCCTGTCTGTTCTGGTTTTCTCTGGGACCTGTTACTTGTTCCACTCTGTTGCCTTCTTTGTTCATCTGGTCTCGTACTTTGAATGAACACTTGAATTTCCGAGATAGCTACAGAAAGCAGCAACCTCCTGCTAGACCTTCCCAGGGAACAGCCTCATCTCCTTCCAGCCTCCTGGGGCTTTTCCCTTGGTTTAACTGCACCCGGCACTGCTTTTCTGGGCCACATAGGGAGCAGGTGCCCACAGTGGGGAGCCAGGGAATGTAGGGCAGGACACAGAATAGGGTTTCTGCTCTCCACATTTTCCAAGGTCCATGATAGGTAATGGCAGCTCCTCCCTGTGGCACCAGAGGCCAACCTGAGTCCTGGAGCCGGTGGAAGGATTGCCCCGATCGCGTGTTTCTCAATTCACGGGTTGCTTTCTAGTTGCCTGTATCCTGTGGGGAGCAAATACAGTTAGCCATCTCCAAACAGATGGAGGTCGGCCATTCAACCTTATACATATTTGGCTGAGAAACAACAGAAACTTCTACTGCTTTTGGATTTCCAAAGATACCTGTTTTACAGTGCCTTAGTCCTACCTTCTTCCCTTAACCTTTAAGTAATTTTGAAGCACAATCCTTCATGGTCTAATGAGGCTACTTAATGCACAGCCTTAACAGACAGCTATAAACTAGAACCAGAAGTACTTTATTCTCCTGTTTTATGAATTCTTGGAACAAAAATGTCAGAAGTGGAAGAAACCAAAAAAGGTTATACTGATTTTAAGTAACTTGTCCTTCCTAGGTAGCTCACATTCACTGCTCTGGATAATCCCTAGAATGAACCAGATGTAATTCAATTTTCTCATAATGCTGAGAAGGATAAGGGATACAGAGAGAGAGAGAAAAAAAAGAAAAAGAAAAAGAAAAAGAGAGACTATATTTACTGTGACAGACATTTTTCACTGGGAAGCTGATTATTACGGGCATTCCAGCACAGATTTGCCTGACCATTGTGGACCACAGTTTTTTTCTTCCCAACAATGGTGTAAATCAGTGGAGTGCAGACAGGGCCCATCACTAGGCTGCTCATCATTAGTGCTGCTGGAGCCTCCCGCTGCGCTGCACGTACGCACTCAGGATGCGTGCAGCTCTCGCCAGCAGCCAACGTGGAGCTGGCTGAATTGGGAATCCAGTCACTTGGAACTTTAAAGATCAAGGATATTGTTAGGGTTTATGCCTAGGAATGACGTCTGAATAGATCTTTCTGTTGAGGTTGATTTGTTACCAAATTAAGCTGGCAATTCTTTACACATACAGGACTGCAGGGCACGTCAGTCAGTCTTCAGCAGATGCACGCTGATGAAGCCAGCCATGCACGCAAGAATGAGGGGATCAGGGAAGGTTGCAGAGCCCAGCAGAAAGGGAAATGTAAACGTTTACATGAAACAGGGTGGGTTATGCCTCTGTATAGCTCAGCCTTTTCCTACAAGAAGCAACCTAAGTAATCCCTGGATGAGTCTCTGACTTTTGTTCTGAAGAAATTTGCTTTGATTCATTATATAGATCAACTGTACAAGACTCATTTTTAGCACGAAAAACCAAAATATGCTACATATAGCCAGATAGTAGGCTTTTCAAAGCCCATAACTTTTTCTAGAAAGTGACTCGAGGGCCTACAACATTTTCACAGGAACCACACTTATTTTCTTTGAAGCACCTCAGAAGCACATATCATACCACAGGACAGCTTCACTCTCCCTTCCTAAATCATTGCCAGCTAGAGGATGCTGGATGA